TCATGACCTGAGCCAAAGGCAGACGCTTAATGACTGAGCCACCCAGGTGCCTCTATTTTGGTCCTTAATTTATTTCCTTTGCTTTGAAATCTCTCTTTTCATCTCATTTTGTTGCTTTGTCATCTTGTCTCTGAGCTTTCATTTTACTGACTTTATGTTCTTATTATGATCTTTTGTTAATTTGTTTTATAGTGTAAAACATTCATAGAGAATTTTCTTCTGTTCCTTGCATTATGTTTTCTTCAAGACTGGAGTCTTTGTCTTTTATCCTATGTTTCTTAGTTCTGCTCTCTCTTTATGTGGGTTTTGTTACATTAATTTGCATAGTTGCCATACTTTTCTTCTTGCTCATTCTCAGCATGCGTAGCCCTGTCCTGACCTATTATTTATTCTCATATGTATTGGAACATTATTCTTGATTTCTTTCCCAACTTGTCGGAGACATGTTTTCTTTCCCTCTGAGCTACAGTTTGAAGCTTGGATGTTCTGCATGGTGGAGCTTGAGGGGAAGAGCTCCACTGGGGCTGCATACAGCTTTTGTTGCAAGAGTTTGGCTTCATGAACTCTTAAAATTATTTTAAATGTTCCAGCCAAGATTCTCTTTACCTGATTTGGGTGCAGCTTTTTCCCCACTGCAGGTACCCTCTCAATCCATATTGTTCCTGCAGTTCAGCGTGGAGCTCTAGAAGCTCTACAGTTCATCAAAGAGCATCTTAGTTGTTTATTTCCCAGCTTTTGCTCATCTCTCTCCAGTAAACATTTCTAGTCCCTTAATGGTCAAAAAAGAAAAAGAAAAAAGAAAGAAAGGAGGAAAGATAAAGATATTCCTGTTTCTTTCCAAATGTGTGGGTATTTGTGAGAATTTGCAGGGTTTGGGCAATTCACCAGTCCCACTACTGCTAAGCATGAGGTTGGGGGGTGGTGCAGAGTGAGGGCTGGAGGCTCTGTTGGAATCTTATGTCTCTTTCCTTAGTTGTCTCCTTTTGAAGTTTATGCCACGAGGCCGTCCTTCTTTCCTTATTTGGATGCCTCTGGTGACATTTCTGCCCCCTCCTTTTTTTTTAGTGGATTGGGTTTTTGTTTATATTGCTTGTTAGTGATGAGGAGGGCTGTGATCCAGTTTCTTTGCTCAGAAGTCCTTCAATTTCTTCTTTTTCCAGTTTGCTTCTTAATCTTTTCCCTTGTGAACACCCCACCCACCCAACATTTTGGTTTATCACCGTCCCAGTCCCCACTGCAGGTTAACAATGACTTCTTCCCAGACAATTCACGTCTCAGTTCTTACCTTGCCGACGTGGTCCTTGCTGAAATTATTTGGTTATTTATTTTGCCTCTCCTGCCCAACCCCCATGACCATGGTAATTATTCATAAAACATCTGAAAGAAATCACTAAATCTGTGCAATTATCAAGCCATTGCCAGTTTATCCCGTAGAATCTATGTGTACCTGCTTTTTATTGAATATTTTTACCAGGACTAAAAAAATAATTACCAAATTAGCCATGTGCCAAAAATCAGCGTAGTTTTTTTTTTTTTTAAATCATGCTTAATTTAATGTTGTTAGGTGTTGATGAAAATAACCTCTCTGGGACTGACCTGATTCACATATAGAATATTAGGAGAGGAGGAAATGAAAAAATTTTCTCAAGGAATGTATTTTTTGATTGGGGTGAAGGCTTGTAATAATTTCCAAGGATCCAGATAAAATTTTATCCTAGCCCGCTGTCAGAACAGCAGGAGGCCTTTTTTGTTTTGTTTTTGTTTTTGTTTTTTGGGTTTTTTTTTATTGTCTTGTCTCCCTTTGGTTTTAATCTTTTTTCAGACATACTGTAGAGGTGAAAAACTGGGACTCTGGCATTTGATGCTAGCCAACTTTGTCTGTGATCCTAGAATCAGCCTTGAAGGAAAGCCCTCCTTGTCCAGTTAAGATTTGTAAATTGCCTTTACAAAATTGCCAACATGCTGAAGGGAAGAGGAAAGATGGATGAAAGAACTGAAAAGAGGTGGTGAGGGAAGGAATAATCTTAGGAAGCATTTTTCTTTTTATGTTCTCCTGTTGTGGAGAGTGGGGAAAAGCTTCTATCATGAGTCCACTCCAGGGGTGTATGCCAGTTTACAAAAAGAACCAGGAAAACTAGCATGTCATGGTTAATGATTAGGTCATGAAAGGAGTAAGAAGGGCCAGCCAGTAGGGTTGAATCCACTAATAGCTGGTATAGCATTGGGGCCAAGACTCTCTTTGGATCGGATGGAGTCTAGACAGAACATCTAGAACCGTGAATGGGCATTCACATAGCCCATGGGAATACAGGCACCATGACTTAGAGATGCTTGAGGTGGTGGGGTTTTGTGATCCATTGTGATTCTTTAGACCTGTTGTCCCCAGCATTGGTTGAGAGCCTCCAGCGAGCTGCTGGGTGGCCTCCAGGTCTCAGCCCTAAGGCAGGAGAGGCAGATGGCCACCTACCAGGGGGCAGAACAAGGTTTCTTAAAAATGAAGCAAGGTTTCTTGGGGACCTCCTGTACTTATCCTATATTGACACAAAATTCTGGAACATTGTGCTCTGCATTTCTGTAAAGAAAGATCCAATTGTAATTGGAAAATGCAAAAGGGCAGAATTAAGGTTAACTCTGAATTTCCTGCTTCTCCTGCAATTCAGTTCTCCCCCTTGTCATTGAGTTAATGTCATTCCCCGCCCCCATAATTGAGCATAAATTACTGGACAAATATGGGATAAGTTGATATGGACTATAAGGAGATAATGAAGCAAATTTAGTAAGAAATGATCAGTACAGCACTCAGATTTTTAAGAAGCAAAAATACTGTCAGTAAGCCAATGAAATATTTGCAAAGTAATCAATATATCAGATTGTGATAAATCAATTTCTAATTTAACCTTTTAACAAAATGATTGTTAAAATTATAAAAATAATGACTTTAAGAACCTCAAACAAAAATAATTCTTCACATTCTAGATATTACTCATTTCCTTTTTTTCTCCATATACCCACTGCAGGTCCAGATGTGAGACATTCGATTTGGAGTTGTCCCTTTACATTATGACTACATGATCCATGTTCTTCATATTAGTTTTGTTACTCTTTGTATCATTTATTGTAGGTGAAGCAGCAGTAGACAAATAATGACTTGGAAGGAGAACAGAGGTTAGGAGAAATAAATCTTTCATTAGTACTCCTAATAGGGAGACTTGGCCTCTGGAAGAAATGGCCCTAGCCACCTGTAAGCACACAGGGACGGTGGCTCTGCTCAGTGCCATGATGGAGAGAGAACACCTCATCATACAAATTTTTCGCAGATTTCCATTCCTCTCTAATTCCATCTGTTTGTAATACGGAGGTCGGTGCTGCTTCCATCTCGCACCGTGTCTTAAATGGATCTCATCAGAGCGCTGTGCTGACCCTGGATCTGCAGACTTGATTCTTGGGGGTGGGGTGGAGGGTGTGGCTTCTTTCTGCAGGAATTCTGGTTTGGTAGCATCCTGCTTGGTCATCTGGGCTTACACAGAGGCCCCTCTTTAAAGGACCCGTTTTAAACGATTATTTTCAACTTATTAAAATAAAAACTTCAAGTGTAGATCTTATTGATTGTTCAATATCAAGTCCAGAAAGTTAAATATTGTTCTTCTCTGTCTCATGTTCTGTATTGATCCAAAATGTATCTTCTTAAACCCTTCAGATAACTTAGGGTTACCACTAGCCTTGGGTCACTTAGCAAATAAAAATGCACAGCTCCCACTTAAATTCAAATTTCAGATAAACAACAAATAATTTCTTAGTGTAAGTATGCCCCCAATTTAACTGGGCGTCCTGTATTTTATCTGACAAATCTGGTTGAGACCAAATCAAGATTCTAGAATTTATGGGCTGAAAAGATTGGTCACAGTACTCAACGTGCAAATTAAATATAAATGTAATCTTGAGCATTCATATGTGAATTTTTTTAGGCCTATGGTATTGTGGTTATATTTTTAAAGAGTCCTTATCTTTTAGAGTTATTTACTGAAGCATTGATTGATGGTGTTATATAACATTTGGGATTCACTTCTGAATAATATAGGAGGCAGCTAAGAGGTTAAGACGGATTGGCTGTGGGTTGATGGGTACATAAAGGTTAATTATACTCTTCTCTACTTTTGAATGTATTTGAAATTTTCCACAGTACAGGAAAAAATAGATGTGTCTAAGTTATGTGTTTAGGTTGAAAAAAATCTATTGTTGAAAGATCCAAAATGTGAAGCAATAGGAGATTGCACAGTGTCACTAGAAGTAGCTTCAGACTGAGGCGGGGGCCCACGAGCCATTTCGTAATTGTGACATCTTTGTTCCTCCACTGGGATATTAATTGTCTTGATTTTTGTCTTCATCTTTTTGTTGGTTGTTTTTGTTTTATATATATATATATATATATATATATATATATATATGTATTTTTTTTTTTTTAAGTAATTTCTATACCCAGTGTGGGCCTCAAACTCACAACCCTGAGATCAAGGGTCGCATGCTCTACTGACTGAGCCCCTAGGCGCCCCTGTCTTTATCTTTCCATAGAACAATGCAAGAATGTTGCAAGTTAGTTCCTAGCCTCTTGTTGGAGTTGAGAGTGTTCAGGTGTCACAGGATCTCTAGGGAAAGCTGGAGAGGAGGAAAACGTGGTTAAGTAGAGAGGGGATATAGTGCTTTATGCTATGGTCAGCCTTTTGAAAATAGTTAAACATGAAATAAACTGTTGGGTTAGGTCAAAATAACAAACAGTACATTTTTCAATTTGCGGTTTTTACAAAACAAATCTCTTTAACTGATTGGATTGAAGCCCTGGTAAATTAATAAATATAGAGTATATAGTCTAATATGTCAACACAGACCTAGCTTCCCTAGCAGGTGAGCTGTCAGCAGCTGGGAGCACTCGGGCTCTGGCACGATTCTGGACAGTGTTATTTATTGATGGACATCTTTAATGGTTTGCTTTTTTCTTCTTCCAGGATTTCCTTCAAATGCTGTTGGAGAATATCCCAGAAGAAAAAAGGTGAGGACCGATTTAGGAATTAAGAGCCCGGTTTTACTTTTAATGTTAAAAATGACCCTACCATTGTTTGGCTTGTTGCAATCTAGAAAGTTCAATCTTCGTCTCTTAACAGCAGTAGGGACCTAGCCCAGGACAATCAACCAGCCCTAGAGCTAGGTCTGCGTGGATATTGGGAGCCAGGGCACGCAGCGTTGGGAGGGCCCAGGGTCAAAAGCCTGAAAGTAGTATGAGAGACAAGCCAGGGACACTTCATGGCCTCAGCTGCTGTGAAAAAGAAGGGAGGAGAGGAAAGTTCTAAGTTAGGGTTCTCTAGTTAACACGGTTTAATATAAGGAAATGCTGTTTAATTGAAGGTAAAAGTATAGTGTAGTAATAAGAGCCTGGGATTTGAAGTCAGGCTCTCCTAGGTTCTTACCCCAGCATGGCTCCTTCCCAGCTCTGAGATTCGGAGTGAGTTACTTCATCCCTCCAAATTTCGGTTTTTCACCCTTGGGAGGAATAAAAGAGATAATATCTGTGAAAAGTAGGTGTTCAATCAATGATTGATAACAGTTATATCAATAGTCATCTTCTGTGCCTCAGGCCCTGTATACAGGATCTACATATAGTAAATCATTTAATCCTTATTACAGTACACCCCCACCCCCCCCAACACCATCATCATAGTGGGTATTGGAGGGCAGTACTTCCTATATGCAGGCCCTCAGGTAATCCTTCATCCAACACTATTTAGTGCATGACATGTCTATCCCTATTTTCCCAGTAAGAGCACTGAGGTACTGAGGGGCTGACCACGTATAGGAGGAGGAGGTTTAGGACCTACATCAAAGTTTACACTGGGTTCATTCCAATCCTCTCCTTCTAATTTCCTATCTTAATTTAGACACTAGAAGTGAATACCCTGAAACATAATTCCCAATAGCAAAATTGGTATTTAACGTTGAGGGGGGGCATCTTGAGAAATTAAACATTCCTTTGAAGAAGAGTCAATGTTCTTCTCCTTTCTGATCCACAGATTTAACAATGTTTTTATGCTCATAATAGGTTTCCAAATGTGGAAATGAATTCTTTCACGCAGACACTGACTTGGACCCAGGCAAGGCCATCCTCCATGTAGGTGGGCCAGCTTTATAGGCAGTCCAAATGGAGTGTCTTAAAGGGAAGGTGGCAGGGTTTGAGCCACCAGGAGGTGACATGCAAATTCAGGGGGGTATCCAGGGGCCATGAAGACATGAAGATTTTTTTCTAAGTGTTAGACTTTTGCCTGGCCTTTTGTTTAAACTCCCCATCTTCCACCTTCTACTTCCAATTCTGGCTTCAACTGTTAGAAGTGTTATTGTTATCTGCTTGTTTTTTTAAATTAGATGTGAACACACACACATAGAGCAAGCCAGTGCATCATACAAAATGAACATACCCATATGATTTGATAAATTCCTTCATTTCTACCTCTTTGTGTTCATGCCTTTTGATGCTGAAGGAAGTCTTATACAGGGAGATTGCGTGGGGCTTTAGTAAATGGCCAAGATTATTAGCTCTTCAGGAGGCTGCTTGAAGGAAGTGTGGCTTGTTTTGGAAAGTCTGAAGTGTTTCAGATTTACCACCCTTTCTTTTTAAGCAGACATACGGATTTTCTTCATGCAAAATCACATCAGATGTGGCCATTATTCCTAAGGTCAGGAACAACAGTTTACCTGCAAGACATTTTTTTCTCCCTTTTCTTCTGTACCTGCCCTGGAATAACTTTTCAGATTCCCTGATAAGATGGAGCAGTTTCCTTAGAAACTAATGCAAGAAAAGAAAGACAAGACAATTACTAGAAATGGTGTATTCTTATTACCAGTCTGTACTATACATTCTTTTGGAAGAACTTAGGGCACAAATATAGCAAATTTCATGGAAGCAACAAAGTGCATTTTTAATTGGGAAGGGCTTCTTTCTTTTTATCCTCTTCCTAATAAGGTTATGAAGTTCATGGGGATGGCCCTGAGCCCTCTGGCTCCGAGGGCTCCGGGGGACTGGGATCTTATCATTGTGAATATTTATCGAGGGACACACTGTTGAGCCCACAAAGAGACTTTTGTTGGGATGGTCTCTGTTTAAGGGTGGCCACCGACCACCAACCTTCACCCCCTGAGAGGACGCCTTTCCCAGTTAGGGTCATGTTTTGGCTAGCAGGTTTAAGCTTCCTTTTAAAATTCCCCTTAAAAGTTAAGGCGATTTCCTTCCTGCAATGAATCTATTTCAGCAAGTATAGCAGAATATTTTCTGAACCTTGAACATCTTTCCTGCTAACTAATGTCAGAATCTATTTCAGCTATTAAAACAGACCGTTTGCCCTTTTACCTATGCAGCATATTGTACCAATTTTATCTGGGTCTCCAAAGGCCCCACACCTACCCCCAGAGCCTCTAATCTATAGCCCGGCTGCAAACTGATCCTTGGGCACATCTGTCAGGCACGTGAGCCATTGTGAGCGGGGCAAGGTTCTTCAGATTAGACCAGCCACTTAGTGTTCAGGGGCCAGCCTCCTCTGTGACACACTGTTTTGCATTGTTCTCTTGCTTCGATTAATTTAACATTATCTATTGAGCGCCTCCCCTAGCAGGCTTTAGGCTGGACACTAGGGGACAGAAAGGAATAGATTCCATGTCCAGCCTGCAGGGAGCTCCTAATCAACATGAAGATATGCATGAAAACAGATCGTTATGATTCAGTGTAGGAGGTACTTTTGGGAGTTTCAGAGTCCTCGGTGCACAGGGAAAGGCCCATGCGTCCTAGCCTCAAGCCTTCAGGCAGAGAAGTACACCGAAGGTTCTAAGTAGGAGAGTGCCATCAGCAGATTGGAAGGATACTCTGGGGGGCAAGGTGGAAGATCGATGTGGGCAGGGAGGACTAGAAGTCATGAGACCAATGAGAAACCTAGACAGCTGTTCACTCAAGAGATCTAGAGCTGGAACCCGGGCAGGGATGTGGCGGTGGCAGGAGGGTTTGGGAATAATGAACAGATCTGAGGGATATTCCAGAGGGGCCACGGATTAAGACTTGGTTGGTTGGTTTTGAAAGTTACGTGGAGGAATCCAGCGCGACCTGACCTTTCTTTCTGGGCCACTCAGTGACCCTTTGGAGTAGTGCTGGAAGCAGAGGGGGCTGGGAATTTGTCTCGGGAATCCATGTGGGGCAGGGAGTGGGAGGGAGAGCATTTGGAGGTGGAGGGGAGGGAGTGAGGAGTTGTGTTCTAGACATCTTCAATGTGAGGTTTCTGTTCAAATGTTGATGTTTTATGAGACCAAGGGAAGAAAAAGCTGAAAGTGCTTAGAAGGAAATCTAAACAGACCCTGGGCACTAGCTGGCCCTGATGCAAGAGCTCCCTGCCCAACTAATACATCATCCCTATCAACTGTGGCTTGCTCTTCCTTTTTTTTTTTTTTTTTTTAAGATCTATTTATTTGAGAGCAGGGGAGAGAGCAGGGGGAGGAGCAGAGGGAGAGAGAATCTTTTTATCTTTTTTTTTTTTTTCAAAGATTTTATTTATTTGAGAGAGAGAGAATGAGAGACAGAGAGCATGAGAGGGAGGAGGGTCAGAGGGAGAAGCAGACTCCCTGCCGAGCAGGGAGCCCGATGTGGGACTCTATCCCGGGACTCCAGGATCATGACCTGAGCCGAAGGCAGTCGCTTAACCAACTGAGCCACCCAGGCGCCCCGGGAGAGAGAATCTTAAGCAAACTCTGCACTGAGCGTGGAGCCCGACGTGGGGATCAGTCTCACGACCCTGAGATCACGACCTGAGCCAAAACCAAGAGTTGGACGCTTAACCAACTGTGCTACCCAGGCACCCCAACAGTGGCTTTTTCTTTGCTCATCAGTTATTATGTCTCTGTGTGCATGTCCCTGTGTTTGGTTTCATTCACTGCCCTGCCTCCCCCGTGGAGCTAGGGAGTGCTCGCTTATAGATGTGACCTCAGCCATTCTCATTATCTGCCTGAGCACAAATGACTCCTTTTGATCGAGAAACAAATAACCATGTGCAGAGTTCTGAGATGCACACTATTTGTATCCACATGTAGAGAGGGAACTTAAAAACCTAAACTACGAAAATTTAAAAATCTGTGAGGAATGTCGGTCGCACTGCCGAACGAGGGCTTTTCCATTTCAGACCCTGAGCACCGAGGGCCCCAGTGCTTGCGTTCATCCAGTACCTGCACTTCCAGCGTTCCTTCCATCTGTGGTTTAGTTCACGTGACAGTTGCGGGGGGCCTTAGAAAGTTGTGAAAGTTGTGCTTTCCTTCAGAGGCGCGGATAGAACGTGATTGTTAGACTCTCAAGGGCTGCAGGTGGGAGCAGAGAGCGGTGAGGACCTCTCTTCTGATCGGCCGCAGGTGATAGGCACAAGTGGCAGATAGAGCAGCAGGCCAGCCCAGCCATCCGCGTCCCTCGGCCCTCAGAAATCAACTGAACAAGCAATACAGCGCGTGCAATACCATTTTCACACGAGCCCTAGGCATGTTAGTATCACAAAGGGAAGAGCCCCTGCCTTTCAACTTTCTCCACTTGAAGCACAGTTATTTCTCTCACCCGCATTATGCCACGGTGTCCAACATATTCTCTCCCCTGCTGTGCTAACTATGTGTGACCACATTTATAGCTCAGAGGGCCTGGAGACAGATGCCTGAAACTCAAGAGTGGCCTTACAGGATGTACGAGTGCAGAGAGGGTACTCTCCAGCCAGGGGGTAAAACAACCTGCTGTTCCAGCTATCCAGGAGGCTTGGGTAATGAGGCGCAAGTACCGCTCACTAGTACAAATATGGGGGCATGCAGTCGTGGGTCTGTGTACTTCTGGCTATCTGTATAAAATCAATTTCCATAGTGATCAGACATGCAGAAGAGTAATTTCCTGTAAGTCCAGGGTCCTAGCGAAGTGGAAATGCTTCTGCTTGTTGTTGTGATTATTTAAGCCACATGATCTCAGAGGGGAAACATTCACCACTGGCTTAGACT